AGATACCCAGGACGTGGAGGCAGTGCAGCGGTCTCGGATCTTCTCCCGCGTTAATTCGGCACGTGTTCAGCCTCGAGTTCAGGTTGAAGACGAATTCGCGTAAACTTGCCTCTCCCTTGCATTTGGCAGTAAAGGGGACTGGAAAAGTAACGCCAACATTGAAGCAAAAATAATTTTTGTGGTTGCATCAAGGACTCGAAGGTCTAAGTGCAGGGCCTCAAGTAAAGTATCTCACGAGCGATGATTGGTTTCCCGGTGGCGGTCTATCCAATCCACAGCAGGCGCTCCAGTCAATTCATCGGCAAGCAAGCCTATGGAATACGACCTTCCAGAGACGAACTTATCAGACTGTGAATTCATCGTACACTCCGTGAATGAAACCTGAGCCATGTCCTTAATCTCAGAGAGAGGACTGCATTTGTTTCTGCAATCATCTCCAACTCGTAGGTTGATTTGGAAACTGTTGCATGGTATTACTAAACGGACGACGCGCACCTGCGAATCAACGAACATCGACTGGTCGGAAATGTAGAGCTCCGTATAATTATTACAGATGTTTATATATTTATTACAGAGACTCCTACTGCGAGTGTGTGTTACTGTAAGATCCACGATATGTAATCTCAATCCGATCCATGGCCCTTTAAAATTTCCCATTCATTAAAGCGTGTATCATATATATGCGTATCCCTTTAACCCCATCTCCTTGTCGTAAATCAATAACCTTATCCGCATCTGCATCCCCCCTCTTCTCACCCAAGCTATCGCACATCAACCAACTCCCCCTCCTCCACCCTCCCCTCCGCCGTCTCAACCTCCGCCTCCGTCTCGGTTTCCGTCTCAGTAACCTCTTCATCCTCCTCCTCAGAAACCTCCAACGAAGCCGTATCCGACAAACTCGCAAGCGACGCGCGGTACATGTTTCCCCCATAAGCGTGCAGCCCCCCACCCAAGCTTGTCCCCGCAGCCAAACTCGCACCCAAAGCACCTACACTGGCGCCAACGGGCATGACAGTCTCAGGCGACAGCAGCGAGCCGTTCCCGTTCCCGTGTCCATTCTCGTGTCCGTCGCCGGAAGAGGCATGGTCGATGAACACTGAGGCGGACGCCGGCTTGGGCGGGAACCATGCATTGAGGCAGGGCGCATTTTTCAGGCACTGGATGTCCGACCGGATGATCTCGCGGCAGAACATGTCGAGATCGAGGTCGTTGTCGTCGTAGCCTGTGTGCAAATGTCAGCAGTCGGTCGGTAGGTGAGATATGCCGCAGGTAATCGAGAGAGAAAACCCGAGCGCAAGCAAGATGGCAACAAAAACAACACTCACCAAACGGCTGCTCGATTTCCTCCCCCGCAGCGACGAACCCGAGGTACACAAACGCGCCGACCATGACCTGCATGAGCCACGAAGAAAAAGACGTCAGCGTCAGTTATCTCCCGAACACACCCGAGGAGCATGGACAGGTGGGTAGGGAGATACCTATGTAGGTAGGTAGATAGCTAGGTGGGAACAATATGGATGGGAATAGAACGCACCGCAGGAACCGTATGCCACTCAAAATCGTTCACGAGCTGTAGCGGCAGGAGGAAGAGGTACAGCCAGACCACGCTACGCCATCATTAGCGCTGACTCTTGTTTATTTATATAGACGATAGGGAGAATGACTCACTGGCTATTGCAACGAATAGGAATCGAAGAAGGACGAGGATGTGAGTCAGTAACAGCACCGAGCAACGAGCAACGGGGCTGAGGTGGGATGATAACGTACCGGATATGCACAGAGTACACGCTGTATTTTTAACTTCGTGTCAGCCGAGCGCAAAGAGGAGGTGAAGGGACTCACAAAGGCAACGGCGTCGTGAGGATGTGTTCGAGCGCTGTAAGGTAAATCAGATCATTTCGTAGGTTTTTAAAATAAGAAATGAAATGAAAAATCAGTCGTAGAAAGCGGAACAAAAAGTACGCACTACTCAAGCTGATCTCAAACGTCTGTAACCCTCCCAATATACTCCCCAGACTCGTGCCTGGCACTGTCCCGCGCTCTTCGAGGACGCTGATCCATTCGGAGAGACAGCGGAGGACCTGGATGGGTTGACTCAGAACAAGGATAGGGTTGGTCAAAACCCGAGACGCGCGCTCACCTCCTCCGGCAAATTCTCTCCCTTCTCATACTCCTCCAGCTGCGCCACACCCTGCGGGTGGATCGGCCCGCTCCAGGTGCGGATGCGCGATGAGCGGTCCTGAAAAGTAACACCGTCAGTATGTCCATCATGAGTTCGTTAGGTGGTCAAGAAAAGTCGTTCAAAAAACAAAGGGGAGGGGAATCAATGGAAAGGAAGGAAGGGAGGGAGCAAGAAGGAAATGAAGGGTAGAAAGGTATGTAGAAACTGAAACAGAAACAAGAGACACACACCTTCCCCCGATGCCGATGCCTACCCAAATCCTATAAAAAGGAGGAAAAAACTGTCATGAAATCGGATGGAGTCGAGTATAAACACAACACACACCTTCTTACTAGCCACTATTCCCTTCACCCACCTCCCCAGCCCAGTAAACACGCCCGCAAACGGGATGACGTCGGGCTGGACGCGCCGGAGGACGCCGTCCTCCGGCGCGGGGTTCGAAGCGGGAAGGAGCACGGGGATGGAGGTTTGTGAGGTCGAGTTCGAGTGAGCGTCTATCGCAGCACCCGATGCGGACGCGGAGGTGTCGGGTGCGGTGGAAGCGGAAGTGGGGCGTTTTGCTGCGTGCGTGGAGGTGGAGACTTTCAACAACGTGCTCCCAGATGCGACTGCTGTTGTCGACGATGCCAAGCTCGAAGGAGGTGGAGCACTAGGAGCAACGGCGGGGGCCGGGGGCACAGGCACGGCAGACGCGACGGTGGGACGCGGGTTTGCTGGGTCGGTGAACTGGCGCAAAAGAACGGTATGAGCGCGGGAAATGAGTGAAGCGCCAAAAAAAAGGGAGAGAGAGAGAGAAAGCGAAAGTTGGAGACGAAGATTCAATGGCAAGGCGAAAATTGGAAGTGAAAGCAGAAAGAGACGCACATCATGCAATGGCCTCACAAGATCATACAGATCCTCGTAGTATATCCCGAGCTCCCCGCGGAGGTGGTGTTTCAGCGCGACTGCGAATCTGTTGTTCATCAGCCTCTCCATCTTATAAGTAAAGTGAACGGAAGCGGAACGCACGCCTCCACCAAATCAAGCGCCATCTTCTTCTCCGCCATGACTTTTGCGCGCTCTTGTGTACTCCGCGTACTATTAGCGGTCGTCTCCCCGGGAGCGAGGGGCGTGAGCCTCGCAGGGACATGATACCAAATGAGCCGGCCCATGGTGCGCGCGTTGCGGATGACGTCGGTCCAAGCGGTGCGGCCCATCCAGTAGCGGTCGTACCCGGACATGGCGCGGTAGGAGATTACGAAGCCGATTACGACTCCTGCATGCAAAATATAATATTGAGACGATACGTAGAAGGGGAGAGGGAACGCACCCATAACGGTAAGCATGACGTTCGGAACGTTTATTGTGCGCTTGGTGGCGATCCAGATGTAGACGATGGCGCACGCGAAGAGGGTGTGCAGCAGGACCGCGGGCCAGATTTTCCATATCTGGTTTCATAGGAAAATTAGCGGCGTTCTTCTCTCTCAAAATAAACAAGAAAGAGCGAGAGAAAACGAGGCAATCACGCACCACACTCCCCCTCCCAAAAGTCCACTTCAGGAACGTGTACGTCGGCACCTTGGGTATAAACGGCGGCGGCGCGGGACGCATCGCGGGGAGAAGGGGATGGTTCCCTGTGAAGGAGCGCTTGCCGTGCACTTTGCGGTGCGTGCTCATCGTGATTCGTCAGTAGCGTGTCTTCTGCGTATTATGCGGATTTCGGCGGTCCTTTCCTGTGTTTTGTTGCGGAGGGCAGGTTGAATTGGCGCCAAGTTTAACTTGGTTGAGTTTAAGTTTAACCAGAGGCGCGGATACGACGGCGGATCCACAGCAAAGTGAGGAGCAGAAGAGAAGAACTTCAAGAAGGGTGATGACAGATCACGGTGGGGTGGCTGTGCAACGGCAGCCGATTGGAGCTTTTTTAGAGCGCTGCCGTGAAGATCGGATTTTCAGCCCCGTTGGGGGTAGTTGTTGAATTCGCAGACTACAGATGAGAGTGAATGTGCGTTCGTAAGTTTTGGATATAAATGTGAGTCATGAAAAGATATTTATCCGGGAAATGAATGCAATACGGTGGGAAACTGCATTAGTTTAAGTACTTAACTGCGAATCGGAGATGAATGGGCGAATAGATTGGATGCCGGTCCGCGTTTAGACGACTCCAATCTATTCAGAAACGTAGGAGAACCAGGAACCCTCTGTGGATCATGGTGATCGCCCCATTAAACTGAGTGTAGACGCAGCGATTCCAAGACGTAATGGGGAGACGGAGGTTCGATTCCTCCCGGAGGCATAACCAAGCGGTTCTGCTTCAAACTTTTTTATTCTGCTGGCGGGGTCATATCTACGTACATCTGGATCTGATCCCCCTGAACCTAGTCAAGGTTCGATCACTCAGTCGAATTGTTATTTGATTGGTCGAACAAGGGATGAGGATGAACACCTCAAAGCCCAGATACTATCTTCGACCATGCCATTTTCTCTGGTCTGTCTTGCACACCTTGCGCGGGACCCAATTGTGACTAGGAGGCCTCCATGGATCGCGGTGATCGCCTCATACATGTAAATGTGTTCCCACACACCACTATTGAAGAGGCGGAGGTTCGACTCCTCCCAGAGGCATTTATTTTCCCGATGGTATACTTTTATTAGTGTTAAGTAAATGCGCTATGGCTGCACAGGGGTGAGTTATTTTAGATCTCGACTCTGTCAATTTCCAGTGTTTATCAGGTGACCAATGACCTCCGAGAATCCTAGTCAATCTCATAAGGTTATGATTTTGCATTCACTCCCACTAAAGACGCGTGGGTTTGATTTCGGACAGAAAAGTGAGCAGCAAGCCTTTGTGGATCATGGTGATCACCTCATGCAAATAGCACGCAAGATAATCATTTGGTTATTGAGCAGATGGAGGTTCGATTCCTCTCGGAGGCATTAGCCTTCAAGCGGGTTTTTTTGATTTTGATTTTGTTGCTACTGTTGGGCACATATATGAAGATACCTGGCTTATAGTCCCGATATTCGGTTCTAGTGTGGGCGCCGATGTCTAGTGTTGACTGCTTGACCAGTGGGTTGAAAACCCTCCAGTTGATTTCTTATGGTGTTTGCATGCACCCTCATCAAGCCCTTGGGTTTAACTTCAGAAAGAATAGGGAGCAGGAAACCTTTGTGGACCATGGTTATCACCTCATGTAAATAATGCAGAGGGACATTATTTGATTATTGAGCAGGTGGAGGTTCGATTCCTCCCAGAGGCATCCGTCAGTCGAGCCACTTTTATGTTTTTTTTACTATCAGCGGGGCAGACATATGAGGATACTTGACTTGTAGTCCTGATATTCAGTTTTGGGATGTGCTGTGGCTGCACATACGCGCACTATTTTAGATCTTAACTCTGCCAATTTCTGATGTTGATTGGTTGACCAGTGACCGGGAAATTTTAATTGATCTCCTATCGTTTTGGCATGCGCCCTCACCAAGGACGCGTGGGTTTGACTTGGAACAGAACGGGGAGCAGGAAGCCTTTGTGGATCATGGGGATCACATCGTGTAAATTTGCTTTCCAGATATTCGATTATTGAGCAAGCGGAGGTTCGATTCCTCCCGGAGGCATTCTTCGCTCGTACGAAGGGTTTTTTTATATATGAGGATACCTGGCCTGGTGTACCTGATATTCAGTTTTGATGTGCGCTGTAGCTGTACAGACGCAAACTATTTTATTTGCATCTCGCATCTGCCAATTTCTAGTGTTTATCGGGATCAATGGCCTCCGGGAAGGTCTAGTTGTCCTATGGTTTTTGCATGCACTCCCATCAAGGATGCGTGCAGACAGAGCAGTGGATCGGAAGCCTTTGTGGATCATGGTGGTCAGCTCATGTAAATAAGATGATGATATTATCGGATTATTGAGCAGGTGGAGGTTCGATTCCTCCCGAAGGCATTCGGCAATCATGGCATTTTTTGGCTACTGGCGCAGCACACATATCATGACGATATCTGGCTTCTAGTCCTGATATACAGTTTGGGGATGTGCACTATTTTAGATCTCGACTCGGCCAATTTCTAGTGCTAACTGTTTGAAAAATGAGTTGAAAACCCTCCCCTGCAGTTTTTTACACCTTCACCAAGGACGCGTGGGTTTGAATTCGGACACAACACTGAGCAGGAAGCCTTTGTGGATCATAGTGATCACCTCATGTAAATAGGACGGAGGGCCATTATTTGATTATTGAGCAGGTGGAGATTCGATCCCTCCCGGAGGCATTTGTCATCACGAGATTCTTGGTCTTTTTTTTTTTTTTTTTTTCTTCTTCTGGTGGGGCATATGTATGATGAGGATGCCTGACTTATAGTCTTGATGTTCCGTTTTGGTATACACTGTGGCTGCACAGACGCGATCTATTTTAGATATTGATTCTGCCAAGTTCTAGTCACTGCGTTCAGACCCTCCGTAGGCACAGGTCTGCCGGATCCCGATAGGCAGGAGTAGGCAGACCAGTGTGTCAACCCTCGCCCATCCATCTGCCCATCCCTGCCGAGGTTGGTCGAGGTTGGTCTAGGTATTCTGACCGGAATAGTGGTGATCGGCAATGCACCGCCAAATTCAAACTCCGACATTGGCCTGAGTGATGGTCAGAGGCGATGGCGAGCCACACACTCACATTGAGCTATAATTTGTATGGGAAAAAATGAATTGAATTGCTGTCCCTCGAAGTTGTATTGGCCACCTTTCACACAAACCTATTTGATATTCAGAAATGGCTATTTCTGAGAGAAAAATGGCTCTCTAGTGAAGAATGAGACCTATATTTACAATTTGGGCCAATAGAACATGTTCCCAATCCTGTATTACATGGGGCTAGATATTTAAATGAGTCCTGTGGGTATGGTCGGCGGATTGGCCGCGGTTCATTTTTCAATTTTGATGCACCATTGTTCTCGATCCGGCAACTACCATTCGTAACGCACCCACCACGTCCTTGCGTTTCTCTTGGTGTAACTGCTTCGTGCGGGCCAGTTTCTGGCGCCTATGGAGGTAGTACCCGCCTCATCGAACCTCAGGCCCATTTGGGAGGCATTTAGACGGGGCGAGGATTTTTTTCTCAGGTGTTCCAACCCACTTCACCATACACTTTATGATCTCCTCTCTCTCCTTCTCTGCTTGCTTCTCTGACCATTGACAAATTTTGTTGAACAATAAATCTCATACTGAAGCCCGAGCGGGGCGGAATTGCCACTGAAGTGATTGCCCTTCTTGCCACCAATTCTCTTCCCAGCCCATCCCATCACTCCGACCACTAACTTTGCCACCGACTTGTCACCGCAAATTAGCACCGACCTGCTTTTCTCATTGTTTTTGAGTGGACAATGTCAGGACTCCTTCACCCTTCTTTCCATTCTCACCCCAATCGTCACACAGGCCCCGGTCCACAGCGTGACAGAACCACCGCCGCTCCACCCCCCATGCCCACCACTCCTGGTGCTGAATGTTGGATACCATCTTCTCCATCGTGCGTGCCAGCAGCAATTCAATCCCCATTGTTGGATGGTATCTCTCGCCTGGCATAGTGACGCATGCCACCCAATTTGCGACCCCCTCCCTGGGCTATCGGACACGCTACATGGTTGTTGTGTGAGATGGTCATATTTTTTCTGCTTTGTGGATTTAATTAGTGTACTGCTCCGAGTTTATATATTTTGCAATTTAAATATATATTTCTCATATTTAACACCCAACCCACTGGGATTTTCCTCCGAATTTTACTTAGTGGTGCTACAGGCTGTCACTGAGTGTTTCTTCAGTGTATTCTATTGATGAAAACGTCCGGATTTTGAGAGTGGCAGGACAATGGGACAATGGTTGGTCACATCAAATTAAAATTCAACCGCGGCCAATCCGCCGACCATATGTGGGACAACTGTGGCCCACAAAATTTTGGTGAAGAATGTCTTGACCAAAATCCAAATCTTGAAATTTGAGTCCATTTGATGGAGTAAAATGGTAACTTGCACATAAAATGGGTCGTATAAGTGTGCCTACCAAATTCTGGGTTGCTTAAAACCCTGTGTGGTCGTTTTCAGGGAGAAAAGTGGCAGAATAGGGGTAAAACTTCCAAATGCGGAAAGACCACTTTCTCCATCACTGATTTCCGGCAGGATTGCCGACCACCAGGAATAGGCACACATAGACTCACGTGGGCTGATGTGCCTAGCTAGGTAAATTCAATAACCGGCACGGTTTGGGCTCGTTCTCAATCGGAAGACCAGTTTTAACTATTCTCATGCGTGCGCACCTTGTTTAGCTTATTAGAGTCCATCAGTCCGCCTTCACAACGACTTGACAGATCAATGGAAATGCTTGATTGCCGAATGATTATTGCGAACATCAATGTAAGATACACTAAGATATTGCTAAGATACGTGCCAGGAGACTTGTAGGAGAGTCAAAATAGTAACTATCATAACCCCAGTAGATGTCTTGCCTGTGTCTTTGTTTTTTGTTGCCTATCATGTTGCCCCTCCTGTTCTCTGTTCTTTACTTGGCTCGCAAATCCCACCGTCATGACATTGATCTTGTACCCACTGTCATTACAGTCCAATACATCGTGTTTATTACCACCGCTACTGTACTCGGAACTTCTGTTTGGTGCAAATCCCATCAGGGACACCCCTGATGGCGCATTCAGTCATGTACCAGTCTGGTCTAGCACCACATTCAACAGCCAAGCTGAGACAGTTCTCCAATGTTTCCTCCCTCAGATGCCAAGACTGTCAACCCCAGCAAACACTCCAAAACAGGACTCAAATGTGTGACAGGTGTTCAGATAACAATATGCATATGCAGCTTGCAGCACACTCCAATGCTGGAGACTAAGATTCTTGATGGATTTTTGGCCTGAAGTATGGAGTCCGCACTGTATAGAATGAGTGGGCAAGGAGACGGGCCAAACCAATGGTGAAACAATACAACTAGGGTGAATTGACCACCAAGCTGAACCCAGGTCGACCGGGGTCGGCCATGATAGACACACCACCGTTGGCAAAGATCGATGAAGGTGGGCAGCCTTTGCCTTGGTAGGGATACTAGACCAATGTCGGCCAACACCTATTAACGTAGACCAAGGTCGGCTTGGGTGGGCAACCCATAGGCAGAGATCATCGAAGGTGGGTACATCTGTGCCTACGGGGGGGTCTGAATGCAGTGAGTGTTGACTTGGTTGATCAATGGGTTGAAACCTCCCCTATCGTTTTTGCATGCACCCTCATAAAGGAACCGTGTCAGAAAGAACAGTGAGCAGGAAGCCTTTGTGGATCATGGTGATCACGTTATGTAAATTCATTGTCGAGATTATTTGCTTATTGAGTAAGTGGAGGTTCAATTCCTCCCGGAGGCATTCATCATCGGGTGAGATTTGGTTTTTTGCTACGGGTGGGCCATACATATGAGGATACCTGGCTTGTAGTCCGGGTAGTCATTTTTGGTGTGCTCTGTGGCTGCATCTGCAGATGCGAACTGTTTCAGATCTCGACTCCGCCAATTTATAGTGTTATCTAGTTACCCAATGAGTTCAAACCCTCCCCTGTAGCCTCTAGTTTTTGCATGCACCTTCACTAAGGACGCTTAAGTTCGGGTTGGACAGAATAGTGAGTGGGAAGCCTTTGTGGACCATGGTGGTCACCTCATGTAAATTTGAGTTGAGAGGCCAGTGGCCACAGCGGCTTTGAAACTCTGCGGTGATCTGGATGTCGTGTCCTTTTTTCAAGGTTGTTTCGAGCCGCTTGGAGAGCCTCCTTCGCTTTCCAAACGCCAAAAAAGATCCACTTACGATTTCCTACTCTCTCTGCATTCCCTCAACATCTCGGGTCCGCCCACCGTTCGCTGATCACATGCGCCAAATTGCACCGGACCTTCGATTTTTTCCAGTGGTCGAGAGCGGTCGGAAGTTCCTTCAGGCCATCTCACTTCCACCTTTGATTTCAGGATACTTGAGGGGGATTCTTGGCTCGTCTCTGCCTGACGCTGAGTGTTTTATCATGTCGGAATTCTGATGGATGTTGTTAACTCCCTCAGAGTACTGCCATTTCACCCGACCGAAGCTGTACCTGAACTGGGTCTCCTCCTTTTTGAGTCTGTTTCCACCGTTAGACATTCACCATCGTAACCATTGGGAGGTAGGTTCCATTTCATCACGTTCAGAACTTCAGAACCTCGATCCTCGAATTCAACCTCTACGCAGAGGGGTAGCCAACTCCGTGGTCGCGGGGGTAATAGATCTCATTCGTGGTTTGACAGATACATATTGAGTCGCTAGGTGGGGAGTTTCACGGCCCCATCTTTCACAGATGAAAACAGTTTGATGGACGAGATTTTCCCTCGTCGATCAGCAGTTATAAGTTTCCAATCTGACCAGCAAGCCTACGATCAAGGTCTGCGCAACAAGATAGATCAACTACCCACGTAAGAATAACTCGGAACAGTAGAATATAAAGGGTTCCTGTGTTATTGTTCTCTGTTCAATCTTGTCTCTCGACATGCCAGCGATATATCGTCTCACGGGAAAGCTCCATCGAAATGATAGCCAGACGCCAGGTGACAAGGACACACTCCTGAAATCGCCTCTCGGCTTGTTTCGCCAAGGTAATTGATAACCAAGGCACTATTATATCCGTTGACCGTATCCTGCATAGACCGGACAGCGCTGAGGCGATCATGGCTGAAGTCTTCGCAGGCTTTGAGCATTTTGGCATTATATCTGCATGGGATCCTGGTCGCCGTTCACTTGGTATTTTGGGAATATGGTCAAAGGGACTCGAGAAATTGGTTGTATTCGCTTTTGAGAATCAGAAAACGGCATCATTCCTGGTCACTGCCACGGCAACGACGTTGTGCACGGTCTGTACCACCTTGGTACGGAAGCATTATCTCACTGCCTCCCAGGT